TCCAAGTCTTTTGTCTATTTTGAGTTGATTTTGTGTATGGTGTGAGATAGTCATCTAGTTTCATTCACTTGCATCATTTATTGAAGAGATTTTCCTTGTTCCACTGTATATTCTAGGTTCCTTTGTCATGTATGTGTGGCTTCATTTCTCGACTTTCAATTCAGTTCCATTGGTCTGTTGTCTGTTGTTGTTTCAATACCATGCTGTTTTATTATTTGGGCTTTGTAATATAGTCTGAAGTCTGGGAGTATTATATCTCCATTTATGTCCTTTTAATAAGGAGAACTTTGGATATTTGTGGGGTTTTTTTGTGATTCCATATGAATTTCAGCAATATTTGTTCCATTTCTTTGAAGAATGTCATTGACAGTTTTATGGGAATTGCATTGTATTTGTAAATTGCTTTTGGTAGGATGACTATTTTGATAATGTTGATCCATCTGCTCCATTCACAGAGAATGTCTTTCTTTATGTCTTCCATTATTTCCATTAGCAGTGTTTTATAATATTTTTTGTATAGTTATTTAGCCTCCTTTATTAGTTTCATTTGCAGGTATTTAATTTCTTTTTGGTACAATTGTACATGGAATGGTTTCTTAATTTTTTCCTTCTCAGACTGATGGTTCATGTACAGGAAGGCTACTGATTTTTGTGTATTGATTTTATAACCTGCTACTTTACAGAACTGGTTTATTGCTTTAATTAGTTTTCCTGTGCATTTTTTAAAATATTTATTTATTTATTTATACAAGAACCAGGGTACAGGCCAGATGCGTGGTATGGTGAGAAGATTCACCAGAGACAGAGCGGGGAGCAGAACAGGCAGACTGATGAAATACACTCCTGAGGGGAGCAGCGGGTGAGACAAGAGAGGTCTGCTGCGCCATGTGGGACCCTCCCAGCTGGCCGGGATCAAATTGGTGCTGCAGAGCCTGTAGGTGGACAGCTTCACAGCATGGCGCTCAACTGCCTGTGCCACAGGGGCGGCCCACCTGTGCATTTTTTAAAGGAAAAATGCATATTATCATATCATCTGCAGATAGTAATAGTTTTACTTCTTCTTTCCCTATTTGGATTCCTTTTATGTTTTTATCTTGTCTAATTGTTCTAGCTAGGACTTTCAGTATTATATTGAAAAGCTGTGATGAGCATGGGCATCCTTGTTGTGTTCCAGAACTTAATGGAAAGGCTTTCAGTTTTTCACCATTGACAATGATGGTAGCTGTGGGTTTGTCATATATGGCAGTTTTTATATTAAGATGTGTTCCTTTTATTCCAAGTTCTTTTGGGTGCTTTCATCACAAATGCATATTGGACTTTACAAGTACTTTCTTGGCATTTATTGATATGTTCATATGGTATTTTTTTTCTTTTTGTTAATTTGGTGAATAACATTTTTTGATTTTTGGGTGATGGACAATTCTTGTGTTCCTGGAGTAAATGCCATTGGTCATGGTGTATAATGCTTTTGGTGCACTGTTGGATTTGCTAATGTTTTATTGAGGATTTTAACATGTTTTCTTTAGGGAAATTTGGTCTGTAATTTTCTTTTTTATTTGTCGTTTTTGTTTGGTTTTGGTATATTTGTGATGCTGCCCTCATAAAATTTTTTGAATGAGTTTTAGTTGGATAGGCATTAGCTCATCTTTGAATGCTAGAAATCTCTGATGAAACTTTCTGTTTCTGGGCTTTTGTTTTCTGGAATGGTTTTTATTACTGTTTCCATTTGCTAACTTGTAATTGGTTTGTTCAAAGTTTTCTATTTCTTTTTTCAGCCTTGGGTGATTATAAAATTCTAAGAATTTGTCCATCTCATCTAAGTTGTTGAACATGTTTGCCTATAACTGTTCATAGTAATCTCTGATTATACTCTGTATTTCTGCTGTGTCTGCTGTAGTTCTCCTCTTTCATTCATAATACTATTTATTTGACTTTTCTCCCTCATTTTCTTCATGAAACTGCTAGAGGTTTACCTATTTTATCTTTGCAAAGAACTAGCTTTTTGTTTCTTTGATCTTTTGGACTGTCTTTTTGGTTTCTATTTCATTTATTTCTGCTTTAATTTTTATTACTTCCTTTCTTCTACCAGTAGAAGGTTTTTCTTTTTCTTTTTTTTTCCCGTTAGTCCTTGAAATGAGAGATTAGGTTGGTTCTGTGGGTTCTTTCTTGTTTCTTGATGGGGCCTGTGGTGCTCTACATTTTCCCCTAATATTGCTTTTGCAGTGTCCCACTGGACATCTACTACATAGGCTTGGGTAATCTGGACTTCTGTGATTGGTGGGCAGGACATCTGCCTGTCCTGTTCCAAGTGTGAGTGGTCCAGCCTGCTGGAATCAGTGGGCAAGACCTCTTGTGGTTCCCACCCAAGCATGGGTGATTCTGCATGGTGTGTAGGCTTCTGGGGCCAGTGGGTGTAACTACATGGTTCCCACTGGGCATGGGTTGTCCAGACTCTGTTCCTTTATTTTCTTGTATATACTATCAATCTTGGTCTTCCTGAGGAGCTGGTGACTGGTTCTGGAGTTAGGGGTGCTTACCTAGGTGTTGCTAAGGGTGTCTGATGTAAAGCAAGGCCCTGGAATGCCCAGGCTGGGGTACCACTCTGCTGGGAGGGGCTGGTGGCTGAGCCCCCCTTTCAAAGCTGTCAAGAAATTTGTTCTATCTAGTCTATACTAAAGTGGTTTGGTATATAGGAAATCACTTAAAAACTATAGCTTGGTTCAGATATTTAGTCAGCTGTTCTTTTAGGTGCTCTGTTTACTTTTTCTTAAAAGTATAAATTTTGTAAACATCCTTGTGTATGTTTTTCATAATGTAGAATTTCTCTTGTCAGGTGTGCTCTTCATAGTTTCCACATTATAAAGCAACAATAGTTGTCCACCATAGTGCATTGTGCTCTCCTTCTCCCTGTTTTCTACTTTTCACCTTCCCCTCCCATTCAGAATATCTCAGATCTATTGTCTTCTTTCAAAGGTCAGTCTTATAACTTGTTTTTGATCCTTTGTTTGGTCTCTGTAGATTCCACATGTAAGTGAAACCATTCAGTATTTTTCTTTCTCCTTTTGGATCACTTCACTTAGAATAATCCCTTCTAGTTCCATCCATGTTACTGCAAATAGAATGAGTTTATCTTTTTTGATTGCTGAGTAGCATTGCATTTTGTATATATCCCACATCTTGCTCCATTTATCTGTTGTGGAGCATTTATGTTGTTTCCTTATAATTGGCTATTGTAAATTGTGCTGCTATAAATATAAGAGTTCAAGTGTCCTTTTGAATTAGTGTTTTTGTGCTCTTTGGATAGATACCTAGGACTGGAATTGCTGTGTCATATGACAGATCCATTTTCAGTGTTTTGTGGAACATCAAATGTCTCTCCATGCTGGTTGACCCAATCTACATTCCCACCACTGATATAAGACTTTTCCTTTTTCTCCACACCCTTACCAGCACTTGTTGCTTGTGGTTTCTTTAATATGGGCTATTCTCACATGTATGAGATGGTATCCCATTATAGTTTTGATTTACATTTCCCTCATTATACGTGATGATGAGATTTTTTTCATGGCTGTTGGCCATCTGCATGTCTTCTTTGGAGAGGTACTTATTAAGCATTTCTGCTCATTTTTGAGTGGGTTGTTTATATTTTTGAGTTTTTGAGCTCTTTATACATCTTTGATATCCATCCCTTATTAGATATATGGTGTGCCAATATTTTCTCCTTTTCAATAGGGTGTATCTTTGTTTTGGTCACTATCTTTTTCACTGTACAGAAGATACTTACTTTGATATAGTCCCAGTTATTTATTTATTTATTAAAGATTTATTTATTTATTTATGCATATAAGAATGGGAGTGTAGGCCATAGATGTGGGGGGGGGTTGAGAGGATTCTTCAGAAAGAGTGGGGAACAAAACAGGCAGATCTACTGAAATACAGGGCTGAGGGGAGTAGCAGGCAAAACAGGAGAGGTCTGCTGTGCCATGTGTGTTAGCTCCGTGGCCAGGGATTGAACTCATGCTGCAGTTGCTGGTGATAGCTTGATAGCACTGAGACTTTAACCCCTGCACCACTAGGAAGGCCCTGTCCCAATTACTTATTTTCTTCTTTGTTTTCCTTGCTGCTGAAAATAAGTCCACAAAGATGTTTCTATAGTTTACATCATGGAGGTTTTTTCCTATCGTTTCTACTACACATTTTATGATTTTAAGTCTGCATCTAAGTCTTTTATCCATTGTGAGTTGATCTTTATGAATGGTGTGAGATAATGGTCTAGTGTCATTCTTTTGCATGTGGCAGCCCATTATTCTCAGCACCATTTGTTGAAGAGGCTGTCCTTGATTTAGTGTATGTACTTTGTTCCATTTCTAGGTTTTTCCCGAGTATTAAGATTTTTGATATGATTTTAAATGGGATGGCTTTCTTAATTTCTTCTTAGTTCATTATTTATACATGGGAAAACAACCACTTTGTGTTAGTGATTTTGTATCCTGACACTTTGCTAAACTGTTTTTTGTTTTGTTTGTTTGTTTCAAGTAGTTTCTTCATGGAGTCTTAGGGTTCTCTAAGTGTATTATCATATCATCTACAAATAATGATAGCTTTACTTCTTTCCCAATTTGGATAAATTTTATTGCTTTTGCTTGCCAATTGCTTTATTTAGGACTTTTTAAAAATATTATGTTGAATAGTAGTAGTGAGAGTGTACATCCTTTCTTGTACCAGAACTTTTTGTGAAGGATTTAGTTTTTTACCATTGAGAATGATGCTAGTTTTGGGTTGTCATATATGACTTTCATTGTGTTAAGATGAAATTTCATTTATACTCAGATTTTAAGGGGTTTTATCATAAATGAATGCTAACTCATATCAAACGCCTTCTCAAAATCTATTGCTATGAACATGTGATTTTTTTCTTTCTTCTTGTTGATGCGGTGAACTACATTTATTGATAGTTGCTTTCTAATGACAAAATATATTTTTTTCTTGCTGTAATTTAGAGTGTACCAGGTCCTGGAAAATATGACATTAAAAGCCAATTTCAGCAGACTGAAAATTTGAAACCAACTGCAAATAATGTATCAGCTGCTTTTCTTTCTCAATCCCAGGTAATGTTCTATAATAATTTTCATACACAGAGAATGATAGGTATAATGTGAAGCTGATAACAATCCAGTGGCGATTGGGGATCTTCTAAAAAGAAAAAAAGACATTTATACAAATTAGAAACAGATATGACCTGTGCAAATCATATTATAAAATGTGTGGGTAAATGAAATTATATAACATTACAAGTTTAGCAATGTGTAAAGATGAAAATTTCAATGAAACCACTACTAAAAATTTTGACAGTTATGAGATCTTAATTCACCCGTGTTTTCTTAACTTCATTAAAAAGATAAATTTAATTCCAAATGTTAAATTACTGAGAAGCCAACTTTAACTCACAAAATATCACTATGTACTATAGTTTCTCACTGGCATATTTTCCCATTTTCACTAGAGATTTATACCCATAAAGTCTATCACTCCAGCCCCAGGCACATATAATGAATATCAAACTGCTTTCAAGTCATTGAAGAAAACATCAGCACTGAAAAATACCCCATTTGGTCAAAGTGCTGCTCGATTCATACAGGACTCCAGGACAGAGGAAATGCCAGGTTAGCAATTAATCTATATGTTTTTACTCTTTAGCTTTATGTAACTTAATATTATTAACAATATTAATTGTACCAGAGAGTACTTTTTTTTTCATTTTATGGTAAATACTGTCAGCATTTTTAAAGCAATGACTATGCAATATTCACAAATAAATACAAAATAGCATACAATTTAAAATGTCCTAATTGCAATTTTCTCTTATTTTCACTTTATTCAGTAAATTTCCTAAACTTCTCTTGGGTGATAAACATACGTAATATGTCAACTCATGTCTTCTCAATGACTACAAAATCTCATGTAATTATAGTGTAATTCTGAAGTACAGGATCTTGTTATCTAATTCAAGTACAGGTAACAGGTGAAGATTTTTGTGTGTATTACTTCAGTTCATGAGTATGATTCCTCTCTATCAGAAGAGTTGTGAACTAAAGATACATATTATCCACCCCATATATACAACAAAAAAAGTGGGAGAAAGATAGGATAATTATAATAGACATTCACATTTAAAAAAGAGGGAAAAACTGATGGTCCATAGTAGTCATAGAGCTAATAGAAACATTCTGAAATCAAGCAAAGCTATTGTGCCATTTCTTTAATTGAGGGTCAAATTATATTCTCTGCAAATGATTTTTCATGGTTTTTGTTTTAACTTCTGGGATCACAGTTCCATCCCTTCCACTATCCTTCCTTGTCTAAAAAAACTAGATGGTGTTTGCAGCTGGAGCTTTCTTAACTTGCTTCCTTCTCATAGAAGATTGTAGTCTATAAATCACTTTTCTTTTGCACTGTTGTAATCTTCCTTCCGCATTAGTGCAATTCCTTTTAAAAATATGAACTTTTTTTTTAAAGATTTGTTTATATATTTATACAAGCACTGGGTACTGTCAGAAGCCGGGAGGGTGAGAGAATTCACTAGAGCCAGAGCGGGGAACCGAACAGGCAGAACAACAAAATACACTGCTGAGGGGAGCAGCGGGCATGGGAGGAGAGGTCTGCATGCCATGTGGAGGCCTCGCTGGTGGCCGGGGATCTAACTGGCGCTGCAGAGGCTGCGGACAGCTTTGCTACCCAGAGCTTAACTGCTGTGCCACCAGGGGAGGCCCTAAAAAATATGAACTTTTTATTGTATTAATTTATAATGAAAAATATTGGACAAAAGTTAAGCCCACAAACCCTTCTCCAAGAAACAGTTGTCTATATGAGTCACCACTGATGCCACTGTTTTTTCAGCAATCCTTAATTCCAAAGTGTCTATCACACATTGTCTTAAAATTCTTAGAGTACCTTTTCTTTAGTGAGAGATTCTGTGAGGAACAATATTGTTTTTTAAGATTTATTTTATTGTTTGTGTGCGTACAAGAACTAGGGTATAGGCTAGAGGTGCGGGGGTGGGGGGGTGGGTGAGAGGATTCACCAGAGGCAGAGCAGGGAACAGAACAGGCAGATCTACTAAAATACACTGCCAAGGGGATGTGGGCAAGACAGGAATGGTCTGTTGTGCCATGTGGGTTAGCTTCCTGGCTGGGGAACAAACTGATACTGTAGTTGCTGGAGACCAGCTCCAGCTAGAAGTTGTGTCAGGGGTCTCAGAGAGGAGAGGACGGCGTCAGCCAAGTTTTCTCGGAGGACTGAGGGGAAGTGGAGCGAGGTAGAAGTGAGGTAGACACAGACACTCTCCCTGGTGCAAGTATCTCCTGCTGAGGGTCTCAGCAGGTCTTTATTTATACCTTAAGGAGAGTGGTGGGATTACATCAGCATAAGCATTGATGCAGAGCAGAGACAATCAATACATATTTTCTCATGATCATGTAAAGACTCCCTTGGCCTTACACCTGTAGGCCATTTCTTTGGTAACCTAAGAACAATTAGTTTCCTAGGTACAGCTCTTTTACTAGCATGATCAATCATACAAGACAACACATTTGACAACAATTAAACTTTCCCAGTTACAAAGTGAGTGTAAAATTCCTATTCTATTACTAAAATCAATCTATCTCCTAGTGCTCAATTAACTTGGTTAATATATTAATTACTTCAAAGTGGTCAAAAACAACTCATCAAATCTACGTAAGTTCTACTGAAGTCTAACTCTTAACTAGAAATTCCTAACCTCCACATGGCCTGTGAACTATTGACCTCTTGCATACACCAGGAAATGTATTGTTGCTGCAAACAGGTACTCTCCCAGGTTAGGCTATGGTTTCCAAGCACAGCTGGTTCAGGGCAGCTTGTTCTCCATAGTTCTCAGGGCCGAAACATTTCTTTCCTAACTATACCTTTAACAATTTTTACTTATTTTGTGATAGTTCACGCGTAAGAACAATAAGCCAGTTGTCACCTGGGTCTGAATTTAGGTTTTCACAGGCCAGTTAATAACTAACTTACTTCAGCATTAACCAAGAATAAAGAGGAGAGCTTTAGCAGGCTTTGCCATGGAGACTCCCTAGTTCAGATCTTCTTTGGGAAGTGCAAGAACTCCCCTCTTCTGGGAAGTACAACTTTCCCTCTTCGGGGTAGCATTGGGACTCCCCACTTCTCGGGAGTCTCCCCCAATTCCTGGACCATGTCACGAGACAGCATGGGAGGCGCAGCCTGCCGCAGCAGTGGCTGGTGCTAGCTTGATAGTGCTGAGACTTAACCCCTGCACCCCAGGGAGGCCCTATGAGGTACAATCAAAAACTTTTCTGAGGACTTAACAAGGAGAACTCAGATTTGGTCTTTGTTCAGGACATATGTTGCTTTGAAATCCTTGTCTGAAGAAATGGAATGAAAAAATTTATTTTCATATCTACAATAGCTTGATTCCTTTTTTTTTTTAAAGATTTGTTTATTTATACAAGAAGCGGGGTACAGCAGACCAGATGTGTGGGAGGGTGAGAGGATTCACCAAAGACAGAGTGGGGGACAGAACAGGTAGACTGAGGAAATACACTGCTGAGAGGAGCACTGGGCAAGACAGGAGAGGTCTGCGGAGCCATGTGGAACCCTCGCCGGCTGGCTGGGATCGAACAGGTGCTGCAGAGACTGTGAACAGTTTCACAGCACTGTGCTCAACTGGCCAGCGCCACGAGGAGAGGCCCTAGCTTGATTCCTTTTTATTTTCTATAAATTCTGCTTGAGAATTGAATGGATTTAGCATCTCTTTGTGGCCATACCTTCTCATACACTGATAAAAATAGCTAATTGGCGGGGGCGGGGGGGGGGGGATTAACATGGCAGCAAGGAAACACTGCGAGTAAGATCTCCCATTAAAAAAAAGTTAATAGGGAGGAAAAGAGGCAGGTCCCAGTGAGAACTGGAACACGGAAGATAAACAGACGACTCCAGCAAACTACCCGAAGAAGAAAGTTGCCATAAAAGAGGACTAGAAGGGAGGAAAGCTCAGAACCCAGCTACCCTCCCCCACCCACAAAGTCGGCACTCTCCGACCAACAGAAAGGAGGAAAAAAATGAAAAAAAACAAAAAACTGAAACAACCAACAAGAACAAACTAAGCATCAAGCAGGACTGTGAGTGGAAAGGAACTATTTCAGCCACAACACCCGTGAACTGGAGCTGTGGAGAAACCTGCAGGATTCTCTGCATAGGTGAGTGAACTGCTCCAGGTGCCATTAGAGAAAAGCAAAGACTCCCGGAGACCTACAAACAGCCCCAGGCCAGCCCATAAGCTTGTAGGGAAAAGCAGCCGTTGAAAAGCAAACGCGGATCGCAGCTGCCCTGGTCCCCACGCCTGCAACCTAGGCTTGCAGGGAGACATGCACGGGCCCTCACTGAGGTGAATGTCCCTCACTAAGTAATCAGAAACCAAGTGCCCAGAATGGGAACAGGGTACAAAAAGGCGCTATTTCTGTGGACACTGAACTGGGCTACAGCCCGTGTCCTGGACCTGAGGGGCTTTGGAACTGAGACCCGGGGCATGAAATTAAGGGCATGGGTTCCCCAAGACGGTGGGGCACAAGGCAGACACAGCATCCCAAACCTGTTGAGGCTTTCCCCTCAACGGCTCCCAATGGTTCCACCACTCCCAATCTGTTACCCATCCCATGGGGTGAAAAAAACAGCTCCCAAGAACACTAGGAGAGATCTCTGGTGCCACCAAGCGACCAGAAAAAAAATCACCAATACCCCATAGAACAGGAACATTTCTTCAGTAAAGACTGCTTGAAATCAGCAGAAGGCTCCCAGAGGAGCCAGTGGTGAGCTGGGACATTCGCCCATGCCAGGCCCCTTCTGACCAGCAGTCCGAGGCCAGAGGGGGAGCGGGCACCAAACAGCCGGGGCAGACCGGTTGCGCAGAAGAGTGTGCCTGAGACCTGGTGCACAGGGAGAGCATCCCACATCGCCATTTTAGAACAGGTACATTTCTTCAGTAAAGACTGCCTGAAATCAGCAGAAGGCTCCCTCAAGAGCCAGAGGTGAACTGGGAAGTTCGCCCACTACAGACCTCTGCTGGCCTGCAGTCCCAGCCCAGAGGGGGAGTGGGAACCCACTGCCAGGGCAGACCAGGCACACAGGGAGTGCGTCCTGCATCGCCATTTTAGAACAGGGACATTTCTTCAGTAAAGACTGCTTGAAACCAACAGATGGCTCCCGGAGGAGCCAGAGGGGAGCAGAGAAGTTCATCCAAAATGCCGGCCAGTACCAGCAACACAGTGTCCCAATGCATATGGAAAATTAGAAAACAGACAGTAGGGAGTAGAAGAACCACATGCAACCTAGCAACTCCTCAGGAAAAAAGCACACCACAAAAAGAAAACAAACACCCAGATTGCAACGACAGTAACTTGGAAGAACTTCTGAGCCTTCCAGAAAGAGAACTTCAAATTGCCATGATTAAAAAAATGACAGAACCCATAAAGGAAAACAATGATAAGGGAAAAATAATCAACGATCAGAAGAATGAAATTGAGTCCCTAAAGAGGGAAGTAAAAGAAATGCAGGAGATCAAAGAATTAATGGGGGCACTAAAGAACTCTGGGAAAAGCAATGAAAGCAG